CTCCCACCATCCTCACACCCTATGTTAAGCCAACCCACTACAGAAGGTGACCTAAAACAGACTAGCAAAAGGCCATCTCTTATCTTTGTGTGGATCCATAGACTCCAAACCCCAAAGTTGAACAATTAAGAGCTTATTGAACGTCTTCTCCATGGTTGCTTTGTGGTGGAATAAAAACATCTTGAGGTCTTTGAGAATTAGAGAGCAAAAAGCCAGGCCTGAGATACTGGTTTTTGATTTCAAGAAGCTTCTAGAAACAGTTTTCAGAGGTTATGCCGGTCCAGCAGGCCTCAGAGTTGCACCCCAATCCCACTGTCTGGGTCTCAGGATTAGCCTTAATTAACCTTTTGGCCAGAGGATGGATTGCTTGAACACCCAGGCTATACGCTACTTGCCTGTATTGAGGAGCATCTGACATGATTGAGATGGGAGAGGGTTGTTCCCACAAGAAACTAGAGTCAGGCACTGAAAGAAACAGTGATTAGGGTGTTTGGGGCCAAGAGAGCCCATGTCTAGTGTGGTCCTTGGCCAGCATTAGATCATCACTGGTTACAGATGAGATAGGCAGAATCCCATGGTCCCAGGGCCTCCCAGACCCATGGACTCAGCATCCGTGTGTTCAGGCTACCCTGTGACTTAAGTGTAGACCTCAGTGTGAGCAGCAACTGTCCTTCCCAGTACCCAGTAGACTCCAGGAGTCCACACAGTTCCGTTGCCACAGTTCCGTTGCCACCATTCGGTACACAGATGCCACTCAAGATCCAAAAAGAGATCCAGTGTTCTTCCTCCTCATCCAGATTAGAGTCAAGGACACCATCTGATTGTCATGTCTCTTTAGTTTCTCTCAGTTTGGAAAGCTCCTTAATGCCCCTGACTCTAGGCTTGGGTTTATCTGGTGTATTTTAGGATTAAGTCTAGGCCGGGCACCTTTGGTCGGGATACCCAGAAATGACATTGTTTTAATGCGTCACAGTAAGCGGCATGTGCTTTCCATTTGTTTGACACGGAGGTGCACTTTGGTGGCTTGATGGACTCCCACATGTTCCGTGTTCCCTCCTTTCATAATGAATAAACCTTTTGAATGTCAGTGCCTAGAAACTGTTTATTGCTCATTCTTCATCAAACTTTCCATTTACTTACCAAGTTATTGGCATAAATTATATACTTGTGGAATCCCATTTTAATCAAGCAAGCTATAATCTATTGCTATCATTAATTTTGATGCTCAGATTGTCCCTGATTTGGCCAGTGGACTGTTCAAGGTGGCTTCTGCATCTTCTTAATCATGTCCCTGTCATTCACTGAGGATCCTGACAAAACGAAGTATTTGTGGTATCTTGAATTTCCCCAGCCCAGTCCTGGAATTGGATGTTTCTCTGTAGACACTTAACTCTTTTTAGTAGGAAATGATAGAAGCCTGGACCTGAGGGATTAATCTGTTCTGCTGCTGCCCGTTACTGCATCAGGGCTCTCCACTGGCAGAATGAATGAACACATGTGTGTGGGGGGCGTGTGTGCATATGTGCACGTGTGTAGTCACAGTCTGCATGTAAGTTCATCTTGACTGGATGTCAAGAATTTGCCATCCAGCGCCAGCTCTTATCCTTCTGTCTTCCTCAGTCCCTGGAGACACCTGGCTTTGGTGTCTGTGTCCCTCATCTGCTGAATCCCGCCTGCACTGTGCACTCTGTCACGGTCCTCCCATGTGGACAGTCTGCTATCTCCACATGCACAGAAGTCCCTCCCTAGATGCCAGCTCTGTTCTGGTTAGGTAACCTACTGTCTTTAGGCCTGGATAGAGAGAGAGGGAAGGGGAAGGTTGGAAGCCACTGAGAGATGTCATCTGACTTTGTGAGTTTGCCACTCAGTGTGCTGTGGAACCCAGAACTTGGAGCACAAGAGATGCTGAAACTCAAGACTGGTTCTTTGGAGCCTGTCCTCAGAGCAGGCCTCCATCCTGTCTGCCCACATACAGGCTGGTGTCTATGTACCTCAACACTCTAACTTCATGGGTTTATTTTGTTGAAAGTGTTCTCCAGGGCACACAGGCCTGGGAAGAGAAGGCCTGGGCCCCAGGGACACCCTATATCCTTCAATGATCCCTTATCCTGCATTGCAAAGGGGCAGAATTTTCTTGTGGGCTGTGAAGTTTTGCTGCTAAGGATCCATATTTTTGGCTTTGATAGCTATACAGCCTGTCACAATCTGTCACTATTACTCCAGTGTGAAGGCTACTTCAACCATAGTGTGTGGAGGGTGTGGATACGTTCCAATAAAACAGCTCACACAAGCACACAGCTGCTGGCTTTGGCCTGAGGCTGCAGCTTGCAGACTCTTGATCCGAAGATGAAGGTTTTGAAATTTACATTTTAAGCTCCCCAAATTCAAGTTACTCTCTTGATGGGAGATATAACAATTAAACCAAAAATAATCACCTGTGTTGACTCCAATAGTCCTTGTTGTGATTTCTTTTTAAAACCGCTCTTGTTCTCAAAAAGATTACTTAAGGCATAATCTTTCCCAGGGTTGAGCCAGTCCACAGAGGTAGATCTCCTGCTTGCTTTTGTTTTTCACTCATTCTTAAAAAGCTCTTGATCTCAGATTAAACCACTCACATACAACAGAGATATTGAAAATTATGTCGAACTCAAGTGGAAGCAGACCTGTGGCCAAGGGTTCTTCCAAAATTAAATTAGTCACTTAGCAGCAACGTTTAGCCCAGCACAGGGGACCAGCTTTAGTGCAGACCCTCCATGAGGCACAGGGTGGGAGCCGGCTGCAAAGGAAGCAAATTCCTGGGTACTTTGCTGCTGACATAGATCCATTTGGACAACACAGCCAGTGCACATGCCTGAAATGTTAGTTGCTAATAGTCTACACCAGTCTCGACTCAGGAGTGCAGAGGAGAGCAGCACTGGAAGCGGGCTGAGCTTTCCCAGCACACGCTAGCTGCCCACTGGCTCGGTGACATGCTTGCTTATTGTTTGTAAAGGTAAGGTGTTGTTTCTCCAAACTGCAGATAGCTCTGCTGTTCCTTGCTAAAAAGGCAAGCTTTTGTCTTAACTGCACCGTAGCACAGGCTCCCTCCTGTGCGAGCCCCTCCCCCAGAGCGACAAGTGTGTCATCAACTTACTGGAGATCTCAAATCATGCCTTGCTGGTCTCACTGACAAAGCTTTTTGTAGGAACTTGCATTCTGGAGGACTCCAACTCTCCCGGCTGAGCCACATGTGGGAACCAAAGACTAGCACGAGAGGGAACCGTCCAACACGCGCAAACCAGGAACCTCATAACCGGGAACGATGGCCTTGAATCCTTGTGACTCAACGCGAGAGCCCCACTGTGAACCCACTAGTAGGTCCGCAGAGCACTGGAGCACAGGACAGAATACAGGCAAGTGGTTCCAGGTGGCTGCCCAGGGCAGGACCAGTGAAGATGTTAAGGACCAAAGCACCTTGCCAGAGCAGGAAGTCTGGATTCTAACCTGTCTTACCTGGTTCCGATGATTCTACTCTTTATGCAAAAAAAAAGTGACAGCTCTGAATTTGCTAATGCAGCCATTTTCCTCGTTTGTACTAAGGCCGCATAATGTGGGCTTTGTAAGTCTGCTGGCCTGAAAGCAGGATACATTTCTAATGGAAACACTCCCACGCATGACTGTACAACAGCAAAGCGATAAATTACCGTGATTTTGGACCTCCTGTGGCTCCCAGTTCCACCACACTGGAGGAAATGTTGCTTTTGCTTAGAAACTCTACAAACATATTTTTTTTTTCAGAAAGGCAAATATTAAATGAAAATTGTGCTGAAAGCCATGAGGAAAAGCATGCAGAACGTACACACTGCAGACTGGGGACGGGAATTATGCCAGGAAGAGTGATTTGCAAAACAAAGCTTGCTTATAATCCACTGGGACTCATACACTTGATTATACTGGGCACTGGATTAAATGGAGGATTGTTTTTTCTCATTACAGTAAGGTGTTCAAAAGTGTAAACACTGCATTATTGTGAACACTGTATTATGTTTTGTTGTTTAAAGAATTCACTTTTAGTCTGCCGTATTTTTGTATTATCATAGGTACTTTTTTCATTTTTTTTTAGAGCTGGGGTCTGTGTACCTGTGGTTGGCCTTGAAAATACCTACCTGCCCCTGTCTCCCAAATGCTGAGATTAAAGACATGCATAACCATGCCCAGTGGGAACGAAGTTAAAAACAAAACAAAACTTTGTTTGGCCTGCATTTAAACACACCATGAGCATGCAGTGTCCAAAGAGGCCAGAAGTGGGCTCTAGAGGAAGAGTTACACATGGATGAGTGTGAGCAATCCTAAAGATGCTGGGAACTGAACCCAGGTCCGTTCCAAGAGCAAGCTCTCTTAAGCACCAAGCCATCTCTCTAGCCCCAAGGAAAAGCCTTTTAACAAAGTCCTGGACATCTGACTTAGTGCAGTGAACCTATGTAAATGTGACTGTTTTCTTACCCTGATAATCAGGCAAGACAGGTGCCTGACATGGCAGTCAGTGTTTAGTGCTAACCACAGAGAAGTCATGGGATTCACTACAGATAAATCTAATTCAATGTTATCCTGCAGGTCTGAGGATAGACCATGGAACCAAAAACAGAGTTCACAATCTGTCCAGGTTTAACGGGTGATGCACGCAGCCACAGGAGTCTTGGGCAAGTAGTGATGAGGGAAGCGCCCTTGTGGCACGTTAGACCCTATGGAATGGGAGTTCTGGAATCATCTCTCCAGAGCTTACAAACACCTGCCCCTTCACTGAATGTCAACACGTACCAGAACTGCTATTTCTCAATTCTTTTCATTTGTTTGAGACCGTTTCTCTATGTAATCCTAGGTGTTCTGGAACTATGTAGCCTGGGCTAGCCTGGAACTCAGAGATGCTCCTGCTTCTGCCTCTAGTGCTGGGATTAAATGTGTGCACCACCACACCTGGCTCTATTTCTCCATTCTTGGCAGCTTGTTCCTCAGAAATCTCAGACACGTGGGAAACTCACTGGCTCTCCACAAGCCAGAAGTCAGGTCAGAGATCAGCACAAGACAGAGGTCACCACACAATTTCTAAAAATCCAAGACTATAGACCTCATATATTTGATAGGATAAAAAAAAAGGCAGTTCATAAGTACTAAAATACACTTTATTCAGAGAAATTCCCATTTAAATTATATTGGCTTTTGGTACATGAACGTACATTATATATAAAACACCACACTTTCCAAAAGTTTACGATGTTCCTTTTTAGAATATATGACTTAGTTTACTCTGTAGTTCTATTTATTTCAAAGTAAATATGACATATTGAGGAAGCATTTATAAGCCATCTAGAATACAATTATTACTCTATAAATATTAATATTCAAAATGGGAACAAAACTAGTGGTAAAGATGTGAGCAAGCAGTCTTTTAAACACATATTCAGAATGCTAGATGGAGGTGTCTTTAACACCCATGTATTATTTCAGCGAATATGACCGCACCTCGGGTTTCCAGAGATGGCCATGAAGTCACCCAGGTGTGTCAGTGGACAAGGAAACTTCAGATCAACTCTTCTGGGCTGGCCTAACAGCAGAACTAGGTCAGCTTTGGAGTCACCGGCCACGGGTGGGTAAGAGAGGCTCCCAGCAGGCCAGACAACGGCTCAACTACACATGCAGGTCACGTGCTGTATAGCAGGACCGGAAGCAACCTCCACGGTGTCTTCTAGGCTGGGACTCCAGGCTGGCTTAGCGTCTGGTCTAGCATCTCACTCCAAAGCCAAGTGGAAATGAAGCACAGCTTACCCCAGGTGTGTGCACACGCACGCACACACACATACACACCACAGTTTCTCTCCATCTACCTTCCTCCCTGTGCCCCCACAGGTAGACACTGGTTGAACGCTGGAGGGTGAATCCTACAGAGGGGACGGCATGAACAGCAAACAGCACCCAAGTCCTGTCCTGTGGCCGGGCGGCCTCTAAAACAGTGGGAACCGTAGGCACCCAGTTCAAATCAACGAGGAATACAAACCGAGGTGACTTTCAGAGAAACATTTCCGCCATGACCTTTTCATCACCCCCTCCCCTGTACCGGGTGCCCGTTACCTGGGAGGTGAGCTGTCGCACCTATCTGAAGTCTGCTTTAAAGCAACAACACACACGTAGATTCTAACAAGTGTACGGACAACACAGGAAGACTGACTGTTTGTAAATTTGATTACAAACCAGTATTTTACTTGTTCCTATAAATCGCATGTCCAGTTTATAAATTTACAGTTATGAGTCTGGTGTAAGGTGCAGCTTGGATTAACAAAATCCCGAAACAAAGGGAAGTCAAAACCAAGATTCCATGTTAGGAGCTTCGAGAAACCCCTGTGGCAGAAGGAAGAGGGAGAGGCTGTGAGCTGCAGGCACCGCCACGGCACGGCCACAGCACGGCCCCTCTGCTCTCAGTTTCTCCCTGGAAAAGCACTGCTGGATATGAAGAGTCAGCCATCTTAAGAGAAAGGAGCAAGAGGGCAGGGACCAAGAATACGCGCTCATTGGTGACACAGAGTATTTACACACAGAAACACAAATTCAGTTTCACTTGTTTATTTTTCCTCAAGTACATTTTAGAAATAACATTTAAACACAGGCATTCTCTCTCTCTCTCTCTCTCTCTCTCTCACACACACACACACACACACACACGTTGCTTCTTTCATGAAGGGTTTTCCCTTGCTTCTTTTAACTGCTTCACATAGAATTCAAAGCTTTCCTGTAAGGAGAAACAGAAATCAGTTACGAGCAAACAGCGCAGACTCAGACCATAATCAGCGTAGACTGGTGGCCACGCCAGCTTGAACCAAGGCTGGTCACCTGCTCTGGAAGACTTCATGTTTTGTGAAATGTCAAGTTCAAAAGCTTCAAGTTCTGAGCTAAATAAACCAGGGCTAAGTCCTAGCTCAAGCAGAAACAGGAGAGCTACTACCTGAGAGAGTCTAGTACATTCACACCTGGCTGGAGGGCGGGGGACACACCTTCCGTTTACCCCGAGGCTATCCCACTCCAGCCCACAGACCTCCCAAGGCTCTTCAGAGACCTAATTCTCAGTAATTAAGTATTCAACCTGTTTTCTCTTCACACCCTTGGTGTTCTTAGGCATGCATAATCTGTGAAGCTATTTTCTCTCTTAATTAAGAGTACTCACAGGGGGCTCTGTGAAGGGGACTGGCTCGCCAACATCTTTGAGCAAAGTAGCATAGCGTTTCAGAAACAAGTCATCCAGCTCCACGTTCTTTGCTGTCAAGTGCTCATACAAGGCTTTGGCGGAGGTCACATCTTTGTCTAAGGCTGAAGGAGTTGCAGGAGAGAGATGAACACAGGTGAAGGGAGCCATCCTCCCTCCCACCAGTACCCTTTGTTGCTAAGGCTCTCTAGGATCCAAGACAAAGGTAGGGACGCTCCAGTAGGAGGCCATTCAGAATCGACAGACTGCCCACTCCCCCACACCCTTCCTGCAAAGCCACTCACTGAGGGGAAGGGAAAGGGCAGGCAAGGAAAGCCTGAGGAACAACATGAATAGCGCCAGATGTATCTAGCTGAGGATCCATGGTGTAGATGGAGTGATCTCAGATCCTCAACTATCAAGTAAGAGGCTGTGAGGAGAGAGGGGGAGGGGAGGGAGTGACCGCCACAGGAGCTGGGAGTCGCTGAAGCTCAGTCAGATTCTCTGTGTCAATCTTTGCACCCCAGGGCTCTCACTCTTTGTCTACTCCTGTCTAGGGCTTCTGGCCTGTCCTGCTCTGCTGTCCTGGCACAGCACAACAGCTGTGTCTTAGCTTCTGACACTATTTATGTTACTGCCTTCAGGAAGTCTAGGATTCCAGCTTTTTTGAAACACTGCAAGATTTCATACGGAAACAAAGAATCTATTTCCTAGTTCTGACTGCTAAGCCAATTGCTCTACCATAGATTCTTTCTTTACTGCAGTGAGCAAGCCTGTGGGCGGTACATGGACAGGCTACCAAGACTCGGAAATGACAGCATTTTATCTTCCTAGCGAGAAAATCTGAGACTGTCCCTTTCTCATGTGAGTGTCTGACAGAGGAGACAAGAAGGAAAAAGACCGAGTTCCAAATGGGACAGGTCGACCCTTGATCACAGAGGGGCTGGCACTGACAAAAGGCCAGCACTTCTGGCTTGCAAGCTAGGGCTGGTCCCTAACACACATCCAAGAGAACTTCCAGGTCTGCCTGAAAGCCTGGAACCCAACTCTACCTATCTGGACTGCTTTGAAGGTGCTCAGAGTTATTTTTTAACGTTAAAACTCTAGGAATAAATAACTTCATACTTTTATTATAGTCTAAAAACAGGCTTGAGAGATGGCTCAGGTGTTAAGGGCACTGGCTGCTCTTCTAGAGGTTCCAACTTCAATTCCTAGCAACCAAATGGTGGTTCACAGTCATCTGTAATGGGATCTGATACCGTCGTCTTCTGATGAGTATGAAGACAGAGCATTTATATACACAAAAAAACCAAACCTTCTAGAGCTAAATGAATGAGTAATCACCTGAAACTTAGGATTAGTCCTTTGAGCTGAACTCATAGTTTACTATATTTAGAATATTTAGATCACTGACTAATATAGTACGGTTAAATTTATTACCATAGCTTTTCATGCTGGAAGAATATGCTTCTCTCTTTTCACGTAATTCAGGAATCAATTCTAACAAAGTCTTCAGAACTGGTGCCTGGGAAGGGAAACAAAGGTAACAAACTCAGCAGAGCTTTACAGTGCACTAATCTAACAGCAGTGAGATAATCACAGCACAATCAACCACTCAGCAGGCCTGGGTATCTCGGCATTTGATGTTAATCCAACAAATCATAGCCATATAAAAAAAATCATAATTTTTCAATAATTAATGGCATTTCATTTATATTTCTGAGTGCTTTCAAAAATAGACTTAAATAATAAAAGCATTAACACTGCTTCTTTTATCAACTGTCAACTTATCAAAAAGTTGTAAGATCTCAAGGGTAAAAAAGATAAAGGTTGTATTTGTGGTTTGCTTTCTTCTGTTTAGCCTTGGAATTCACTTTGTAGACCATGCTGGTCTCAAACTCAGAGAGATCTGCCTGCCTCTGCCTCCCAGAGTTGGGATTAACAGTGTGCGTCACCATTGCCACCTGGCAACAATTGTATTTTAACACTATGGCTTTTTTTTTTTAAGTCAAGATAAAATATGAAGATTCAAAAACTTCTGCATTGTCCCCTGTTCGGTTCGTGAAAAACCCATCTGCAGGACTTCCCTGGGGTGTCACTCTGGGAGGGCGACTGCAGAGGCAGATTCGATCACTGCAGAGAAGACAGAACCTCCTTCACCACGTGCTTGGGAAATCGGCCAAGGATTTTATGTACTTACAACCATCCTCACTTTTCCCAGAAGGAAATCCAGTTTAACTAACTGCGGACTGCCAACGGCACTGTGGCCAGCACTTAATTTTAACTCCTCTCTTAGCACATCAATGTAGTCAGACCAAATCTAGACTCACATATTTCCTGAACTCCTTCCTGTCCATCTCCTGAGGCAGGATGAGGTTTGAGTCAGCACTGGGCATACACTAAGCAGGTTCTACCATGAACTATACTGCAGCACAGTTAAAAAAAAGGGGGGGGGGGCGAGGATCAGAAACATAAACAAAAAAACATAAGACCTAGTTCTTAGACAAACACAGACAAACACGAATGTAATCAGGACTGCGTGCGCACATACACCTCAATTTTAAAAAGAAGCCAAATAAACAGACGTGCCTTTCACTTTTGGCATTTTCAGGTAAGGTGCTGACCATGAACAGGAGTCTCTCAGACCCGCTGGGAACAGAGCAGAGTACAGTACCTTTTTTGGTTTCCCAGCACTCCTGAGACAGAACACCAACAAAATGGAGCTTTGCTCGGCAATGGCACCACATCTCTAAGAAATAAAACATCATTCAGTCAATGAAGGTTTTAAATAAGTAGATCAAAGTGGATATTCCCAATTAAGGGAGTTCTCAACAACATAGCACTGTGTCGTTAGCACAGGAGAGCCCAGCAGTCGGCCAGGTTTCTGGCACGGAGGGACCAGGTGGGAGCCGTGAGACTGTGGCTCTTTGCATCCAAGGATGAAGTTTGTTTAAAAAGGAAAGGGAAAAATTAAAACAATGCTTCAACAACCACAGAACAAGGCTTAGAACTGCAAAGAAAGAGGAAAAAAGAAACACGATTCCTCTCCAATTATTCTGCCAAGCATTCACAAGTGAGCTAGGGATCATAAGGTTAATTCTACATTTAATAAGGTGTCAGGGAGATAACTGCTCATTTCTTTATAAAAATTAAAATGTACAAAGCACGTTCTCTTTAAAGTATAATTACCTACACTTATGCACACAAAAGGACCGATTTCAATCTCTCCATTTTATAAAAGGCTTTCATTGCAATAGACAGCCAGTGCTTGAGAAAGAGACAAAAGTTAAACTAAAAAAAAAGTTTATGTGACAGACCAGATAAATCAAGTGTCTATCCAACCTCAGATGCTTTAGTTAAATCAAATATGGCAAGACAATATTTTAGTTTATACTCATTGCAGATGTCATCCTCTAAGTTTCTAAAAGCACATTGTTCATTCAGAGCTTTAAACACTGTCAGTGCTAAGATGAATAGTATAAAAAGAACTTTTGCGGACTCGTGGAACATTTACATTATAAACTGATGTTTTCGACATCTGGGAATCAAGTGTTCCTCATGAAAGCAGGAAAGAACAACACTTTACTGTCTGGCAAGCAGGTAAAGGCTGGGGCTGCTGTGGGATCAGCACTCAGCCATCAAGAGCTCCCAGGCGAGCCTCACAGCTAGAGGCAGCTCTGATGCAGCCAGGCTGCCGGTAATTCTGCTCCTGTGGAAGGCATGGAGTGACGGCTCATAACAGGTTGGGAGAGGCAGCAAGTGCCTCTTTGGGAGAACAATCGAGGAGAAAACACCATCGCACGTGTGATAGGGAATGGCATTTATAGTCCTCGGTGGGCAGCTGAATACACAGGAAGACAAATCCTAAGAGAACATTCAGCGGAAACTTCAATACTATCATAAATTTCCTGCAAAGAGAAATAAAGGAACCACACCAAGAAAGCAGAAGCAGTTTGCATTTTTATGCACTGTTAAATAAATGTTCAGACATGCCTTTGAAAAGTGGCTCGGGCTGTGCTGTCAAGCTAGATGAACTTGGATCATCGTCCATACCTCCTACTTAAGGTATCTCACAGCTGGTAGGAGTGTAAGTGAACGCAACACTATTTACTACCAGAAATTGGTCCCAGGCCTCAATCTGACACAGGGAGTCTACACAAACACAGTCGCAGGCGGGATCACCGTGACTGTTTGACTGCCACCTGCTGGGAAGGGGCCCCCAGCGGTGCCTGTTTGTGTACACTGCCAGTAGCAGCTTCATCACCCACCGCTCCGGCGCACTCGGCGCAGCTTTATACTTAGAGCTGTTAAAACGGCATGAATGCAGTTGTCTCCTTTTCCTCAAGATTGCTAATTTAACCGAGCGTGCGGGCCACAGAGACCTGCATTTGTCATTTAATGTGTCTGTGACATGTAAGTGAATAGAAAGCAAATCCAACTCTTAATAAACCTTGAATAAGGCACCAAGAATGTTTGAGTATTCAAGTGAGAAGCTGTACATGGAAAGCAAACATTTTCTACTTCTTGTTTGCAAACTGTGTTGCCATGGTGATGCACAGTATTTAGAGTGTTAAAGAAATTAGGAAAGCAAAGGAATTGTTGCTTTGCATTATCTGTCTTCACTGAAACATTCATCTCCTTTTGCACCCTATGCCGATCTTAATGACAAGGATACTTCAGTTCTACCTATGCTCACAGTCTTGCCATGCAATCTTGCTTTACACGGAATTCCAGCATTCTAGCAGGAGTGCCTTCCCTCACACTCTTGCTTCCTTCTCAGAAGCCACAGGCTCCGATGAGTCATTACCTCTAAGAGAGCTCTGGCCTCATCCACCTTGCCTGAATCCACAAGCTGCAGGAAGAGATCGGTGACGGGCTTGTAAAGTGCAAACTGATTGGCCAACCTCTCCGACATGATGCTTACTGCAAGGAAAAGCTTTCATTGAAACAGGGCTGTGACTCACTCCCCAAAGCAAAGGAATGGCTTCTATGCACTTAACCAACAGCAACTCACACTTCTCTAGCGCTGGCTCCATCTGCTCTTCTATTACTTTTCTGAATAAATACGACAAGCCGAAGTACTGGGGCTCTATGGTGGGATTCTCTGAAGTAAGCATGTGTTCAATACTTTCTATGGCGACATCTATGTTATTACTGTAAAAGAAAAAATTATAATGAAATATTTGCATCTACAAAAATTGCAGCCAGTTTTAGTTAGAAGCCAATCTATGTGGGTACTCAGGCAAATAATTCAGAAAAAAGAAACTCTATTTATAAGCAACCAGGCTCACAATAGTGATCGTTTTTTAAGCATGTCATCTAACATAGCAAAAGCAACCAGTGTGGCTCACACTATGGGACACTTGTTTCAAGCAGTGTTTGCAAAACAAGACCAAACTAGATTTATCTCGAATATTTAACTTGATTTTGCAGTTCACTGGATATCAGATGCTATTATTTTGGCTTTATAAACTCAATGATCACTAGTGTGAGGCAAAGACGATGCATAACATTTGGAGAATAAAAAAAATAAAAAGATCATACAGTCAAAAAGTTATCTTCATGGTTAACAGTCGGAGACGCCTTTGTGTCTGGGACCATACTTTAGGAGAAATTTCTACTAGAACCCTCAGAAAAGTGCACCTTTACACTTTGCTATGGGATAAAGAGAGAAACTCTGCATCTTCTTGGACAAAGTAGGAAAAAAAAAATAAGCTAATGACTGTCATTTTGATAAGATGGCTGATAGTGTGTGCTTATAATGTGATGCCAGAAATGCATTTCATGTTTAAATTATTACATCAAAATAAGGACTCTGAGTATCTGTTAGATCTTTCTTATGAGTTTAGGTAAATAAAAAATTATTTTAAAGCGAGTAAAAACATGTTTTCCATATCATAAAAAATGTTAACTATAAAATAAAATGTTCATCTAGCTCTCACATAGATCTAATTTTAAAACATCACATTTTCTTATTAAAAAGGTTTGAAACTCTATTTTAGGAAATATTTTATTTTACCTATATATGGCTATTTGCCCACATATTTGTATGGACAGAGAAGGTATCAGATCCATCCACATGGCTGTGAGGCACCAAGTGGTTGCTGGGAACTGAATTCAGGTCCTCTGGAAGAGCTACAAGCATTCTTAACTACTGAGCCATCTCTCCAGGTCATGGAAAGCAGTTTTAAAGGTTAAAAATAAAACATTTTTTGCTAAAAGAAGTAAGTATAAACAACAAAAAAACCTTGCCAAACAGCATTTTAATACATCCATACATCCAAGGAGACTATTAACAACCCCCCCCCCCCAAAAGCCTGGCAGGGGTGGCATATACCTTTAACCCCAGCACTTGGGAGGCAGAGACACCCGGATCTCTGAGTTCAAGGCCAACCTGGTCTACAGAGCAAGTTCTAGGACAGACTCTAAAACTACACAGGAAAACCTTGTCTCAAAAAACCAGAGAGAGAGGGAGAGGGAGAGGGAGAGGGAGAGGGAGAGGGAGAGGGAGAGGGAGAGGGGGAGATAGATTTCCTCAAAAACATCGAGTATCAATTCTAAAATTATTCTTATGATTTTTCTCTGAGGTTTCACTACATAGCCCAGATTGTCATCAAACTCATGATCTTCCTGCTTCAGCCTCCTGATGTAATGTATATAAAGCACTAGTGAGATCAGAGAAAGTCAAGTCTGTTTGTCCTTCTGCGATGACGACTACTCAGTCTGGATGCCTTCTCTGCTTGTGGCCATGCATATACTGGGGGTGAGAAAGATGGAATGCTATTCTTTTCATGTTTCAACTAGAACTCAGACTCTTATGTTTGCCAACCAGATTCTCTATTATAAAGCTACCCTGGCTGTCCTAGAACTCCCTCTGTAGAACAGGCTCTTCTTTAATTTAGAGATCCACCTGCCTCTCCCTCCCAAGTGCAAGGATTAAAAATATGTGTGAACACCGCTCGGCAGAAATGTGTATTTTTAGTAAGTTTGCAAGTCCTGTTTCATTATGTGAGTAGTGTGTTGAGACACTAAAGAACTGCTGATTAGAAAGTGAAATTACTTTTATTTTTGTAAATGAATTATTCTGATAACAAGAGGCATACACACTTGTTCATAACATACATTTTATATATGTGAGTTAGCAACTGTGGAGTAGATTTTATGAATGATAAATGTTTAGTAAGATTTAATTAAAGATAAAATACATTTTAACATATAGTTTTAATAGTAAATTATCAATATAATTAGAATTGCAAATTTCCAAATGGTGCAAAGAACAACAAAAACATTTTAAGGTTGCTATCTGAGATAATCCTTAGTCAAGAAAGCTTGAGAATACTCACTTCTTCATCTGAGCCAAAGCAATGTTATTGATGAAAACCATTCTTGAGAGGTCGATTGCATCCAGTCCATTTACCATACTCTGAATGGCCTCTATGCTCTCCAGGTCACCCTTCACAGCGAAGGCCTGGATGAGGCGGGTGATGGCTAGTTTAGAGGGGCTCTGCTCCAGATCCAAGGCTGCTTTTAGAGTTGCGAGAGCCACTAAAACGGAGAGCAGAGAACTGAGCTTTTCTTAAATGACCCATACTGATTTTAACCAGTTTTTAAACAAGAGCATCAAATGGCTAAATACAAAAATGAATAATTTATCCTAGATTACAGAAAGTATTAATTACTTCATGAAAAATCTTTATTAAAACGATGCATCTAACATTAAGGCATGAGAGAGGAACA